GTTCCGCCATATTGACTCTCCGTTAATCCATTTCCCTTTTTCCTTTTTTCCATCAGACATACAGAATATAGAAAATATAACATAAATAATTCTAACAATAATAAACCAAAAAAGTTCTTCAAGAACAAATACAGGAAATTATCAAATCGATATCTTCGGCAAATTCTTCAGCGATAGAATATACCATCGGCGGTTTTGTAGTGTTAAACAAGAATATAGTCCAAATTTGCAGATATCCGACATAAGAAAACTATAAGAGAACTATAAGAGAATGATTAGATATTGTGTTGACAAAGAGTGAATGAAACAGACCCACCGTCAGCTCCGAAGGGATGCAATTGAGCGGGTCCAGTACGTAGACTTCACTGTCCACGTACTTCACTGTCCGGAGGACTAATCGACGATTGTTTGGTGATGTTGACAGAACGTCCGGTAGACTTTTCGCTGAGTGGCGGCCGCGAGTCGCGCGCGAGCAGTGACGCGCCCGCGGACTCCGACGACGAGGACGATGACGAGATCGACGTGCTGGGTGATGAAACACCGTCGCCGACGCCAACACCAACGGCGACCCCGACTCCGATGCCGGCGCCGGCGCCGACGCCTACGCCGGCTCCAACGCCGACCTTGACGTCAACGTCGACGGTTTCGACCCCGACGTCGACGCGTACCGGCACTCTGCCGTCTCTCTCAAGACGCGGCACGCCACCAAGGATTGGACTCCACACGGCGATTCATCCGCACTCGCATTCGCATTCTCACCCGCATCCGCATCCGCATACGGTCGGCCTTCACCATCAGCAGCACGGCCAGCATTCCGCCCAACGTCAGCATCGCTGAGACGCGTCGCGACGTCACCGCTTGTCTTTTATCAGAATCACGGCAGCCACCACGCGTAGAAAAGAATGGATGATCTTTGTCCGTGGTTACTGGATACCATCCCCGCCGGTATCCCCCCCCGCGACGATCTACCGACCGGATCTACCGAGAATTTACCTTAGGCTAAAGCTCGCCGCGTAACGGAGAACACGGAATTCGGCAGAGATTGTCTCCGCTCTCGAAGAACCGAGAGGAGAGAAACCAACGGTCTTCGCGCAAGTTTTTAAGCGGTATTTACTTACCTGTCACTGAAATAATTCGCGCTATTCAACGCAGAAACGATATCGTTGCTGGAGCGTCGTTGCTGGATTTTTCCCGCTTGCGTAACGTAATAAAGAGAGGAAAAAGAAAAAGAAAAAGAAAAAAAAAAAAAGAAAACGAAAAGGAATGGAGTTTTTGCCGGTTCCGAAATCTCTACTTTTTATAGTGAAATACGGTAAATAAATACGGTATTTGGTCTGTTGTTACTTTTTATAGTCAACTGTGTAAAAAAATAGGCCGTGGTTTTCGTTGAGAATTAAACTGTCATGCTCTGACGCGATGATGTGTATATTTCTGTTTCTCCTCGATTTATCTTTTCCCAGGTAGTTTTCTGAAACTTTGAGTGCGTAATATACTTTTTGGAGGCGAGAAAGAGAAAGAGAGAGAGAGAGAGAAAGAGAGAGAAGGGGAGAAAAAAATCAAATGTTTTGTATCGAAAGGACGCGCGAGTTATGTTCATTTCTACCAATGTAGCTTAATTTTAATCTTGAGTTAACTAACTTTTCGTCTTTTTTCTAGATAACTTTATCCAGGAGATTTCTCCCAAATTACAATGGAGATTACATATCTCCTAGATGAAATTATTCGCAACTTATCTGAAAGTGAAGAAATTGGGCATAAGAATTAAAGAGTAAATTGAACCGAAATTAAAGTTAATCTATCAATCCTATATTTAAAATCATGCCCGTTTTCAGCAATGTAGATAAACTTTAATCTCAGTTCAATTTATTCTTCATCTTTTTTTTACGTTCAAATAGAATTGGAAAAAGATTAAGAACGAATTGAAATCCGAAATTAAAGTTAATCTACATTAATAAGAACGGGGATTGGTAAGAGATAAAGAGTTGTGTGAGTTAAATCGAGATTAAAATTAATTAGTAGGAATAAACATTAGGATGTTGCCTCTCGATAACGACGTTTTATCGCCGCGTGGCGCGCGTCGACATTGACATTTAATTGCGTCGTGGGTCGCGGCGGAGTCTCTTTACGCGATCGTTTCGTTAATGATCGGCATGACATTTCGGTGCCTATCACTCGGAGACATTTTCGCAAAAGTTAACGAGGCATCGAGTCGACAACGGGAGGGATGGAATAATCGCGAGATTTCCGCTTCGTTAACGCGTTGACTATCATCACTATAAAGTATCTACTGTCCATATTAGACTAGAAATCAGAATTGAGATTGAGATTGAATTTGATCAATCGAAGCGAAGTTCAAATTAAACATGATAATGATTTTCTTTCTTCTGATTGGTTAACCCATAAATGACACCTAGGTGCGAATTCGCATCAGGAAAACTTTCAACTTGTGCATTTGACAAAATTAATTTTGCTTTTTGAGCGAATAACATTTTGTTTTTTGAAAATTCAATATTATCAATCTCTCGATTGGGTAGAAAATTTTACATTGAAAAATATAGCTTTTTAATTTAGATTTTCAGAAGATATAAAAACACCTGGTTTTTTTTTAAGGAAGCTCTAAAGGGAGGTGTCCTTTATGGATTAAAATTCAATCTCAATCTTAATCTCATTCGATAAGATGTATCCGATTTGCTGAGAGAACGAATTAACTCGGGAATTTAGCTTTTTTTGCGTAAACGATCATCTGGGATGTTTTTTTAAACTCCAATTAAAAATTACTATTATTAATCGCACATTGCATATTATCAATTGTTCTACAATTCATTATAATATTTGAAATTATTATGTACACTCCAGGTCAAAAGTGTGAAAGCACTTTTAAAAAGATTGACATTTTTGGGATCACTTATTCAAATATCCATAATGTGTTTTTTTTTTATAATAATTTCTTTAACTATTATTTTTGAAGAATTATTGTTCGAAGGTACATTATTTGAATGTTTGAATAAATAATTTCAAAAATGCTTATTTAAAAAAATATATATTTCCAAACTTCTGGCTAGAAGTTGTATATATAAATTTATTTAATATTTTCTAAACAATTTCTCTAGGGAGAAATGAAAAAATAGGCGAATGAATTTTGAATTAATAGAGAAAACTACTTTGATCGGGCTTCATTTTCTTCCGAGATGTTAATCATTCCAGATAACTTTCTCGGATTAGATATGACCCGTAATTACGAGAGACGATCGAGAGCACGAGTTAACTGGTGGATTTCGCGTGATTGCGAAACAATCGCGGGATTTTTGCTACCTGTTGCGATGACAGATTAGATCGGCAAGATCGGCAAGTGGCTGTTAAGAAAAGAGACGATGTTACGTGGAACGGTAGAGATTTTCCAACGAGCGTGCGCGTGTCAGGCGGACGGTGAGGCGTCTGCGGGGCACGTCGTGCTTCCAGTTGGGGTGAATCCTAATACCTAGATAATAGGAAATAATTGCGAGGGATCAGAGCGAGCGAAGCTACTCTGTCGGCTGTCGGGTTCGGGGGTAGCGGGATGCGTATAGTCGTATAGTCGTATAGGAAGAGGAAAGGGAGAGAGGGGGAGAGCCGAGAGAGAGAGAGAGAGAGAGAGAGGGTGGCGCCGCGTTTCCATCCCTCCGTTCTCCCTCTTCCCGCTCCTCTCCTTCCCTACTTTCCCTTCTCGCCGTCGATTCGCGGGGGTGGAGAAAGAGGACGAAGAGAGGATCGTAATTGTGTTATCGGGACGAAATCACGAGGTACATTCTCGGATATACATCGGGTAGATGGATACGCGGCATTGCGACCGTACGCGAGACCAATCCGCGTGGAGATTTACTTCCGGCGAGAGATATATATCGAGGAGGGAGAGAAAGAGAGAGAGAGAGAGAGAGAGAGGGTGAGTTTGTATCGATGTCGCGTGCTCCGTAGCGCGTTTGAATTCTCGAAGGAAACGCTCTTTCAGAATTTCACAATTTCTTCCAAACGACATATCGGAGTAATACTCGCGAACGAAACGTGAAATCCGCGCTTTGCAGGCAAGGCAAGGCAATGCAAGGCAAGGCAATGCAAGGCAAGGCAATGCAAGGCAAGGCAAGGCAAGGCAAGGCAAGGGGGGGTCTTTGACGACTCTAAAGTCTGACGCGCGCATTCTGAGTTTCTAAGAGTAGCAGTGGAATGGAGGGGGACTCGGCCTTTGATGTGCAGGAAGATAACGTTGACGTTGTTTAGAGGAAGAAACACACCCGAGCTGGCCAGGTAAGCTGGTAAGCTAAATGAGATCACGGTGCCATTTATGACGTTTATTAGATTCCGTTAAGACGTCTATTATTACGGTACGTAAATAAAAGGGGGAGAATTCGCGCCCCTCTCGTCGAGGGAGACGAAGCGGAATGCGGCGAAAATAATGAAATAAAGGACAATGAAGTGGCAGGTACAATGGCCAATAGGGCATAGAACGAGAGGACGGGCAAGGCGCCAGCGGGCGATGAAGCCTCTCTCTCTCTCTCTCTCTCTCTCTCATACGTGGAAGGGGTGTTGCAACAAGGGGTTACAGAGCGCGGCTCGCTTTAGTTCGGCGGGCTAAATGCAGTGGGCGTGTTCCATTACTTTCATTATTTTCAGTCGCCGGGGGTTCGGTGGGTATCGATGCCCGAATGTAACCGTAGGTCGCCCCGTGCGTGCAACGTAACGCAGCCAGCGAAAGGTGGGCGACCTACGATTTTCGCCCTTCGAGTCGATGCGAATCCATCGACGACACGGCGACAGCTAATTCGCCGATATATCGAAGCAACGACATACAGGGTGTTGGTTAAGTATGTTGTCATACTCAGCAGAGCGATTCTTTGGTTTGTTTCAAGTAAAAAAGTCCATACAAACATGTGTCCTAAACGGCCTACTTTCCGAAATACAGGTGAATGTTCGTAAATGTTTGACGAAACGGTAAATTGCGTTGGAGATGTATCCTCCTGCATAAATGTGCCTTGCTTCACGTGAGTTACCATTCGCACAACCGTAAACATAGTGACAAAGTCAAAGTCGAAGTCCTCCTAGATCAGATTTAAATCCTTATTTCCTTTGGGGATCCTTAATTCCTCTGAAATCATTTTGGTTTATACCGCCCTAATTGAGAATGAGAATTTGAGGAATCGAATAGTTGCTTCATGCGAGGCAATACGCACCTGGTATCTTTGAGCGTGAAACGTCAATCTTTGAGAAGAAAGCTCGATGGATGTATCATGGCGCAAGGTGGACATTTTCAACAATTCATCTAATTGTTTTATTTCGTCAGAAGAAGCCTGTTTTCGTTTTTCTGGTTTTCACTAGTTTTGGACTAGTTTCAAACTGTATTTCTTTCAAATAAACAGATTATTACTACACGTTAAAATTTTGTTCTTTCGGAAACTAAGCCGTTTAGGACACATGTTTGTATGGACTTTTTTTACTTGAAACAAACCAAGGAATCGTCCTGTTGAGTATGGCAACGTACTTAACTAACACCCTGTATATTATACATGTGCGAGCGCGCATGTGTGTATGTGTGTCGACCGAGATCAATTTAATCCGCTCGAAAAAAAAAAAAAAGCAAAGAGAGGGACGAGAGCATTGGGCCTCGAGTCGAAGAGGCCGCACGCGAGGGTGAACCGTTAGCTTAACAAGCTGTCAAGACGTCGCCGCGTGTCAATCCGCGGCTCTCCAACGATCCCCGAAATAAAGCCACCTAAAACCCTTCAGTCGTCTCTCGCGCGCGACGAGCCGCGGATGAGAGTTTTTAGTCCGGTCGCAAAACCGGTCCGGGTTCTTCTCTCCTTTTTGTTCGAATTCAACACTTTTATGCGCATTTATATTTATATTCCTGGAAACATGACTGTAGATATTAAATATCTAGGATTTTTACTCTGTCCTTTTATTGTAGTACTAGAACTGTGCCAACTCAGCTGATAGTTCTTTCTTTTCCAGTTAATTTGCATTTGCAATGCGCGTGGAGCTTTACATATTTATGACTTTTCATGAACAAGTAATTACAAATAGTTTTACTTTGATGGTGATATCCTTCCGTATAAAAATTCAGATTTACCTTGAACCGCGATTGAGTTAATTTCGACTCCGCGATTCTATGTGTTAATTGTTTCACTTTTTATTATTGATTTAATACATTGATTTAATTGTTTCGATTTATTTTTTATTTTACACAAGGTAGAAATGAATAAACGTTAAATATTTTAGGAACGTATTCCCAATTTATCAAGTATTAAAAAAGTATAAATATACACGTGGAGAGATTCTCTTTTAAAATTTAATCCTTAAAATATGGTAATTGTGATATATAATATTTTAAAGCATTTTTACCATGCACTTTAGAAAATTAATCAAACTTATTTGATATTTTATTGTAATTTTATTAATGAATGAGAGAAATTTACATAAAATTCTTCAAAATACAATGTTGCCGACTATCATATTTTCAGGGTAAACTCTAAAAAAAAGTTTTCTCCGTATAGATTCTATATGAACGCTTTTAGTTTTAGAATTATTAAAGATTTTCCAATCTTTTTTTATAGTTGATATATATGTGCAAAAGATTGAAAAATATATAATGCTAGACGATTTAGAGATCATTTTGAATAATTTTCGTAATAAAATATTTAAATGTTCTCTAAAAAATAAATGTTCAAATATTGAAAAATATTTAAATATTTATTATACTTATTCTATTATTTTGTTTAATATTGTGAAACGATAAAATTAATCTCCTATCTGAAAAATTAAAGTTTCTCATAGATAGAAATTTTTTTAAATATTTAATCGATGGGAATATGTTTCTAGAATCCGTGTATCTATTTACACTTTTACATATCATATATAAATTGCTTTCTCTTTTTATATATTATTCTTGTTACATTATTATATATTATTGCTCTTATGTATTTACTTTTCGAGCATAATCTCCGATTGGTTTAATGGCACTTGTCTCAGAATGTATATAAGTAAATGATGCTTCTCTTTTCTCCTCACGCGAAAATTCCAGGTTGATCTAGCCTGCGGACTCGCGGGAGATCGCATGAGAAGAGGACCTCGCTGAAGACACGTGACACGCGAGGCGAAGAGAGGATATTCACTATAGAGACAACGGCGTTACTGCCCACGTGCCGTTTAACTCGATCACAGTGGCAATCTGGCCTCGTTTCAACCTCCGGTTACTACGACGCTTCCACTAACAAATAATATTGTCGTCGACCCTGCGGGGGCGTTCTGATTCGATTTACGCACCGTGAAAGCGCGCTCGGGGAAGGAGCGCCACACGCGGTGGCGAGCGGTGGTGAATGCGAGAGGAGCGCGACACGCGGCGAGGATGAAAGGCCCCCGCTCGGAATTGTCGGAAATGCCCCGCTCGTCTCTTGGCGCGCTCCTAATCAGTAATTTCGAGAGTAATCAGTAACATGCGCGAGTCAGCGCAACTGTTTAAAAGCCGCGCTACCCCACGGTGTAGAGCAGCCGCTATATATGTATACTCGCGCAAACTTACGGGGGTGAAGACACGGCACCCCGCGATACATTCAATATTGTGCTCCTTCTTTCTCTCTCTCTCTCTCTCTCTCTCTTTTGGTACTTGACGAGATCACTATCTACACGGCGTGTTTAAAAATAATTGCCGCAGTAGATCCAGCGATAGTCACGGAGTCGCCCTCACCTCGGCGCTTCCTGGCCTCTCGAGTGGCCCTCGTTCTACGATATAAAAGCGAACCTCAACCCCTCGAAATTGTGCGAGGGCACACGCGGACCTCTTCCGCCATCGGTCGAGTAGCACCCCACCTTTCATCCACTTTATCACGGCGTTTAAAGAAGTAAAGACTAAAGGTCCTTTATACGTGTCGAGTGAGCTCACCTCAAGATGGACCCGCTCGAAAGCAGTCGAGGCTCTGCTCGTGGCACGACGACAACGACGACGACGACGACGACAACCATGACGGAAGGAGATGAGCGTCCGGTTTGTCGCACGAAACTAAAAAAAAACAGGAATATACAGTTCCAATTTAATTATCGCATTAATTATCGACGCATCATGTAGGATCGTAGACATGGAAAAACCGATCTAATTGACTTGACACTCGAAACATTATATTGTCTCTTAATATCGCATCAACTATCCATGCATCATGTAGATATGCGCGGACATGGAAATTCCAAGAAACATCACTCTGCTTTCTCTCGGTGTTTACAGTATTTATATTTTATTTCACGTACAACTTGCATATATTATAATTATAATCGACAAACAGTAGTCTCTCATAACGGAAACAATTATCATTAAATGCAATTATAACTAAAGGGGGCAAAGATGCGCCCAGCCGGATAAGGCGTGAGCCTCTTACACTCAAAAACAAGATTACTATATATATATATATATATTTATATCTATATATATATATATATATATATATATATATATATTAGCCTTTGAATATTACAGAATTAGTCTTTATGTTTTGTGTGTCTGTGTGTGTGTATATATCATTGTGTGTATGTGTATCATTTTATAGGAAACTTTTTACTTTCTAATAGTTTCTAGTATTGTTTCGTATCGTTTCTTCCTCATGCCTTTAATAAGAACCTCTAACGACTATTTTATACGAGACTGTGGGAACCTCAAACTTATTAAAAATACACATCGCTCGCGGATGTATTGTTATTGCGCGTTATATTGTGCACAAGCATTCGTCATTAGGTACCTCTTTGTAAGGGGGTTTTCAGAGACGTTGTCTAGATATTTCTCTCTTTTTAGGCCATTATCATTGTGGATAAAAGTACCCAGGGAAGCGCGCGCAAGAGCGCGACTATTGGATCTCTGTCTTTTACAATTAGTAGTCAATAATCGTAAACGTACGTTATAGGTGCGGTCCACTTGACATTACAAATGCTTCGAAGCTTTTAATTGACCAATCAATAAATGCTACTGCTTTGTAGTATCAAGTGAATCATGAGCCCATGCATATCTGAATGCTGCTTATAGGTTTTCGCGACAGAGATACATGACTAAAATAATCGAACCAGAGATACAGGGCATGCGGATTGTGGGAGAGCACAACAATACAACGATCGTTGATATCAATTTCCGATTATCATACGGCTCGATCAACGCTAACGCTGTTGAACAAAAAATTTTTTTTCTCGAGCACAAGAACAAGCGTAATCCGTTTCCTAGAATTTCAATAAAAAATGACTTTTTCGACTTTTTAGCATTAAATACGATCTAGTATCCAGATTGCTTAATTACGTCACAATTTGGAGGTATTTTATCAATACTTTAATACTTTGATAGTCATGTCACTCGTATCTCGGCGACGGTTTTATTTATCCGATATAAAAAAATTTTATTAAATATATAGACGTTAACAAAAACAATATACATTTCTTGAAGACATAAAAAAAGAACATTTACAATAAAACATCGAATTTATTGAGATCAGTGTCGAAATCAGAAGTTAACGCGTTAAAGTTACAAAAGAGAGTAATTTTAATACATTTTAGCATATTGTAGTTATGATGTTTGTTAAGCCCGATCTATATAATGCGCAGGACGCAGATCACAAGTCGCAAATGAAACACATTTCAGATTATAATAGGTCGCAGACTGCAATACGCAAGACGCGAAAGTTGAAGTTCACTCAACTTCCTGTGTCCTGCAACCTATTATAATTAAAATACATATATTAAATTAGTTTCCAGTCTTGTAACCTGCGATCCATGTTCTGCACCTTATGTAGATCCAGACTTTAAAGAAATTTTATCATAATCCAAATCAAGTATGTTGATTGTTACATTAATTTATATTATGTATATTTAACTCATTAAAGGGAATTTGTTTTGTGATTATGGTGATTAAAAATATTTTACAATTATAGGATCTATTGTGTCAAAATTGTGACTTTAATGTTACAATAGACTCTATTAATCATACAGATATTTTTAACCGTAATCGACACAACAAATTGTTTTTCAAGCCTTATACAAATCGTATTTGAACAATTCAGCTAATTGACCAATGCGATTAATCAATTCTTTCGTTGACCGAGATCTCGGAGCGATTTCTAGTATTGTGAACACAAAGCTTAAGGGATGAAAGTTCTAACATGATTAATTTTGATCGCAATAAAATTTTCTCAACACGTATCAACACGTTATGTATCATAGCTACGACATATATATTAAAATGATCTTTTTTGCAACTTTCATTTTTGAAAATTGTCATTTAATAGAACAATTTGATAAATGAGATCGTATTCAGTGCCAAGAGAAAAGTGCTAAATGGAAAACTATTTTCGTTCTTGTGCATTTTTTATTAAATAGTTTAATTAACATTAATTAAAAAAACAGTCATGTCGACGAGCGAAATGAAGGAACGTTGTTCAATACGAAAACCACGATTTCGAATCTTCACTACGTATGCAAGAATTTAAATATCATTGCGCAAATAATAATCCTAATTAAATGCCTTGAGAATATGCAAAAACTGTTGCTGCGTTCGCTTTGTCGCTCACAGCGCTTTAAGGGCACGTCTTCATCCTTGTTATTTATCAAATATTAAAGATAAATAAACGCTATAAGCGCCAAAGCGAACGCAGCTTATATTTCCAGCTCTTGGAGTATTAAATTGTAGTTTGTTCGTTCGTCGCATTCACATGAGTAACGCAAACACGACCGAAATCATATTCAAGAATTAGTCCCAGTCTTGTTAAACGGGTTTTAAACCGTGTTTAAAAGAAAGAAATGCTCAGCTTTTTGCGCTTTTATAGAAAACGATAAAAAAGAAAAGGTATATTTCGCGCGCGAAAATATTATCGTTCTGTCTTAGAAAAGACCAATAAAAACTGCTGAGAAAAAAAAATGAAATGAGATAAACAAAAAAATTACAAACGTAAAACTAATCTCAATGTCGCATGACATATAACTTTGTCCCTAATAGGGGTGAGATGAGGCGAGATGAGGTAGCTAAGCAGAACTGCTGCTTAGTAATACAATATAATGAAACGCGAGGCCAATGCACGCGATACTATAGAATAAGCGCTTATTTAAGATAGGAGAAGTAATCCTGTGATCCGATAGTAATCTTGATTTTAAGCAAGCCTTCCCGTCGACAAGCGCATTGTTATAGAAATTAACATGTTACATACATATTAATTAACTGAGAGAATTAACATGTTTCCAAAAAAGATATATCTGTAGATATCGCCATTATGGACCAGTCCATAATGTGAGAATAACATTAGCACGCGAATGAAACGCCCGGTTTAACGTCGTGAGTCCATCGAGACTCGCAATGCGCAATTTAGTTAAATTTTATATTGTATATACCAGAAATTTCGGCTGCTGCGAGAGAGAAAAGATGCAAGACTCACCTAAATTTCGGCGGAATTATTAATTCGCTGTAAAGAGACGACTAGGTTTTATGTGGATCTTAAAGGAATCTCTCTAAACAATTTCGAAAGATTCTTTTTTTCTATAACCCCGGATCTACAATAGATTTTGAAGCCTTAAGTTGCAAGGAATGAACGAATCACAATCACTTATTCTCCTCGCATTCGACTGTAGTTGATCAATTTCTTACGGCTTAAAATACCTATTGTAGATCCGGACTAAGAGATTTTTACCTATGACATATAAAAGCAACAGGTGAGTCCAACGTCTCGCGTAACATCGTGAGACTCTACACGAGATATTATTGACTCTGGTACATACAAAGCAGTTGAGATATTACATGCGCACGCGCGTTTTCTTTTCACTAGCGTAACAGTACAAAGAATATAAGTAAATATAAAAATCAAATATAATAATATTAATAATGATAATAATAATTACAAGAGAATCGTTATTAGAGCTTCTAACAATAATAAAAATGAATACCTTTCTTCAAATTCGTAATAAATTAATAATAATGAAATTTAAAAACGTTCGTACAATTCAGCTAACAATGGCGATCGACGATACGAAGATGGATCGCGCAACTCGTTTCATCCTCATCATAATTCACCTTTATTATTAACCACGACTTATACTGCGGCCTAACCGATGAGATTCAAGTGAAAGCGATTTAGTGAATCTAGTAAAAGAGCGTTTGGCAAAATTACATAAACAATATGTTGTCGAATGCAACGGCATTCGCTCGTGTAGTACAAATAAGCCCAAGTTAGCGTACATATATATATCTGGGATATTGAATATAAATTCAATAAAAATATATACGAGCCGTAAAGTTATGTAATTTAAGGTAAACGCATTCTCTATTACTACCGCTTAGACATACATTTGCTCGATCAATCTCGTCATTCTAATTAGTTGCCTCGTATTCAAAAACAAAAGCAGACATGGCGTTAAGAACAAGGTTGATAGAATTTGGTCGAACGATTGATTAACTTGACAGCTGTCCTACGTAATTCGCGCTTGTTCTAAAATGCAGATAGATAGTAGATATCGCATTACGCGTTAACTACTCAAAAATTTATTTTTACTACTACAAGAGAACGATCTCGCTCTTCCTCTGTCTCTCTCTCTCTCTCTCTCTCTCTCTCTCTCTCTCTCTCTCTCTCTCTCTCTTTCCTGATCCAACAAAGACCGATTTTTATTAATGAAGAGACGGTCTCGAAGCTCTCTGTTTCAACCTGGTTAATAACGCCTGCTCACTGTCATCTTCTGTTTTTGATGAAACTCCGCGAAAACTCTCCGACCGATACTTGTCTCTCAAGAACGTCCTTCTCTCCTCTTTGTACTTTTCGATTCTTTCTCTACACTGCGGATCTCCTAGATCTAGACCGCCGAGATTCCTCAGGTGAATCTTTTCGGAGACGCTCGAGCAGATACCGGAGCTGCTACCGACGTTAGGCGTCGAGCAATGCTGCACGTCCTCGGACGTTGGTTTCACCGACAGGGAGATGTCTCCCGTCATCCGGTTAAACTTTGCCTCGTCCAAGGAGCGGCTCAGTGTTGCCCGAGTCGCCCTCGCGTGACGTGCTCGCAAGCAGGGTGGTAAATGCTGAGACGGCTCTTCGAATTTGCCCCTCGCGCAGTCCAACTCCTGTCTCATCTTACTCTCTCTAACGATCTCCCTGCCGATCTCCGAATCGAAGCTCCTTCGCTCTCTAATCGTTTCGCTGTCGTATTTTCTTCTTACGGGTACGGACATGTCTCCTACAGCGCCTCCAGACAATCTCTGTAGAGCTAACTCCTGTAAGATCGCCGCGGTATCCCGTGGTGGAAGAACCACCGTGTCGTCGACGATCGGAGACGAGGCGTTCGTAAATGTACTCGACGTGTCTAATGTCCGTTCCATCAGCTCGGATGCCCCTTCTGGGGCGTGCGCTACTTCGCAAGGCTCGGCCGCATTCTCCGAAGGAATTCTCACTTCGATGTTGCCTCGTATTTGACTGGCCTGTAAGCTGGCGCCCTTATGACCTTCGTCGCTACGTTTGGAAGCGCATTTGCGTATCTGTTGCGTATTACTCTGCTGCTTCTGTAAATTATTGTATCCGAAACTTTGGCACTTTTTTGACAGTCCGTTCGTACAGTGGTCGTTGTCACGATCGTCTCGTATAACGCTCGTTTCTAGATCCCCCTCAGTTTTATTCGAGAATCGCGAATGATTCGTGATGTGTAAGGTTCGCGTCGCGCAATCTCGTTGCTGCGCGCTGATGTCTCTCGACAGACGACGATAGTTCTCGAAGGTTTCCGTTTCCCCAAACAATTCTTTATCGTTGCGTACTTCATTCCGATTTGTACCAAATACATTTGCATTGTCCGCCTCGATGTAACACGCGCGAACCTGTTGCTGCTGCTCTCTCGCGTTAGTCTCCTGGCTCGTATTTACATCCGTAGTACAAGAATATCGATTGCCATTCTCCCGGTCGCATAATCGAGAATGGGCGTCGTCCACAAGATTATCCTCGTTTACGAGGCTCAAACTCGTCTGCAAATCGGCCTCTTCTCGTTCGTGCTCGTGACTCGTGTACTTCTTCGTATCGGTAACATCGAGTATCATCTCCTCGTTTTCTTGCGTCGATATACGACTTCCCGTCGAATTGTCGACTCTCATGCAGAACGTCTCCGCGGTTGGAGACAAGGTGAGTTCCAGCAATGTTCCGGGAACGTTCTCCGACGCTAGATTCGCGTTGCTTTCCACAAAGGAATCGTTGGGACTAGTCGATTCGTTGATTGGCGTCGTAAAGGAATTAACCACTGTTCTTCCGACGATCACCCAGTCGCCGGAGTCGTTGCTGCTGCCCGTTGCGCGCGGACTTTTCGCATTGGTGAACACTTTGTCGGAGGTATCGCAAATTATGAATTCGGACTCTTGCAACTCTTGCAGAGTTTGCTCGTACGACATTGGAGAATCGAGATCGGTCGTATTAGATGGCAATCTTGGCAAATCGGCGGTAAGGCTATTCGACGGATCGGATTCGTCGCATCCTTTAACTGGCTCTTCTTTATCCTCGTACGATTTAGACGATGTCTCTACAGAATGTAAACTCAGTCCGCTTGTCACATCCTTGCGAGACACGGCAACCCTACTAGATGCTGTCTCTTCACACGAAGAGGATAATTGGTTACACGATGTCATCTCTGTATCATTGAAAACGGAGGCAACCGCACTCGATTGAGTTGCGACGCGATTTTCAGTGCGCGAAAGCGATGTGGTGGTTGCGTTCCTATCGCGCAATTCCGCTCGCCTGTCGTATGTTATAATCCTCTCACATGGCTCCAATCTTTTGTCCCGATCTTCAAAATTTATGGATAATCTATGATTAGGATCCGACGATTTTTCGGAAGACGACACACTGGTTTCCTTCAACTTATTCGTATCGCTTCCATCGCGCTCATCGCCAATTTCTAACGGCAAAGTGAAACTTCGAAAACTTATTCTAGGGCTATTAGCCGGTGCCGGTGAGGTGGAGTGAGACGTGCCTTGTAATGTGGCGGGGGTTAACGGCGTAGAGGCTTCTGATAACAGCGGTAGATAGCCTGGTGTTTGTAATGGAGACGGAGTATCGACACTGTGAATATCCGCACTTGTCGCTACCATGACCTGAAACATTTTAATGTATTAGACATGATGTATACAGATGTCTCGAATTTAAATGGCTAAACTTCGGGAATATGTAGAGAATCCGGAATCGATAAGCTGAGAAAAAAAATCCTTTAGAGATATGCTCGTTTTTACTTCATTTGGGGAAAATCGCAAAAATAGATAAAATATAGTTTTCGAAATATCATTATTTTTAAAACGGAATATTATTGTTTTTTCGTACATATCCTCTAAAGAACTTTTTTTTTCTTACTTTATCAACGCTCCCGAAGTTTGACCATTTACGTTTGGAACATTTTCATGTATATGGAAAATGATTAATTTACGTTAATTACCTGATCGGGGCTTTGGCTGTCTATGAAACGCAACTCAACGTCGCAATGCAGTCTTTCTTCTAAACGAGATCGTTTCCTCTTAGATCCACCGGTTGCAGTGGCACATTGATTTCCTTCGATTCTCTGTCGACGCGGCGAGGCCTCTACCGACGCCACTCCGCCACCTTCCTCTTCCGAAAGCATTCGCATCTCTCGCTCTTCGAGATCAAAATTGAGTTGTATTTCTGAGAGATCCAACGGCGAGGATGCATTGGGCGCATCAGCCAAGTGGTCAAAGTACGAGTCGTGCGAAACGGATCGACTGTGACCGCAGGTTCTGATAGGAGGTGGTCCTCCCAAGAGGGGACCCAATCCATCCTCACCGTCTAGACTGTCGGCACTTTTGACGGGTCTCAATCGTCGCAAGGAGTTCATAGAACTCGGCACTGTTTCCACTTGGAGAGATGGTGTGCCAATTTGTCTCGTTTTCTCGACAGCGCCCTTGCCGAAGAGCGCTCTCCAATTAAGAGAAGGTGATCGTTTCGAGCCATTCCGTTTGCGTGGTAGCTCTATGACAGTATGATAACGCAGAGGCAGGCCAGTCGGACCCGCTCCTACTTCTATGTAATCGGGTTCGCCTCTGAAACTTCTATTGCGCGCTTCCTCCAAAGTAAGCAATCTCGCGGATGTAGTGATTGCCAAAGATTTTGGTCTACCGACTGGGCCGTCCCCGAATATGAGTTCCGCGTAGCAAACCAGAAATTCCGTCACAACTGCCTGGACCCCGACGCCCTGAAGTGCCGCCACGCCACCCACTTCCAATTCCTTGCATCTTAAGAGATTTGGCGCCCAGACGATGGCTACATTGCGCGGAGTCATACCTGTTTCCGTACCACGTGCGGCTACCCTCACCAGATGACGCATCAGATACTCCAGTGTCCTGAGTACGATTTGAAACATAGAATAAATTGTCGACTCATTGCTACAATAGAATGCAATAAAGTGAAAATAAAGGACAAAATTACCTGTAATGCGGTGGCGGTAACTTTCTAACTGCGTCTCTCATACGTCTCAATCTCTCGGCATCGCTGCCAGCTTGAACCGCATTGACAAAAGTGGAATAAAGTTGGTATGTGCACAATGGATTTGGCAGCTCTCTAAAATACATCTTCAATAACGACGCTACGGAGTGGATATCTTGCAAAATACTCTCATCGGAATGCAACGCTGGTACTCTATCTTCGTCAAAGGCGTTCCGCAGTTTTTGAATGTTGGACGTTACGCCACTAAGGCGGTATATACCGTCGACTAGACCATGTTTCTCTATGAATTCCGCACAGCACGTCAAAACGGTAGGCACTACAAAATGAATAATGTTTCGTTTTCTTTGTACAGTTTATACTCAACAAATATAAATTATTGAGTGTGCTATAGAATAAAATTTACCGTCTTGACCAGAGTTTAATAGATGTTCTCCCAAGTCGCAACCAAACACACGCTCTCGTAATATACCCGATTGTTTTAATCTCCGCCTAGAAGGTCGATTTAGTATAAAGGATCTAAAAAAAGCGATAAGTTTGCCATGTTTCCGGAGCACGGGCTTTACTGGTAACCTTGACCTGACCGTCGTTGAAACAGTCAAGTGACGCGGCACTTTGTCCCCAATTACAGCGACGCATTCGGCTGGGAAAAATCCAACCGCGAATCCATGCTTTCCACGCCACCACGTGCTTTCCCCCGGAGGGGGCATATCTATAACGGATATCATATCGCCTACCTGTTTGTCACGTAAATCGTTTTAATCAGTAATCGTCATCAATTTTCATGACACACAAACATTTACAATTTAGCCAACTGTATTTTTTAAATAAAAGCATTTTAGCGAGTTACGCCGTTACCTGGAAAGAGATCTCATCTTGTGCTTGAGCGGTGTAAGGTCTCACGGCGTATGCTGCAGCGACGGCTGGAGTATTAATAGGACAGGAATCTGATTCGGGTACCAGAATTCTTCTTCCTCTGTTATCGAGTTGTAACCAATTTAATACTGGACCGCAGTTTAAGCCATCGTGATTCAGCTGTGAGAACCGGCTCAAGTAATCCTTTAGCATATCACAG